TTTGGAAAATGTATATTTCAAAAATATTTAGAAAATGTGTATATATATTTATAGGTTTAGTATAGTGCTCGTCGAGTGCCCACTGGCTGGGAGCTCGTGTGGGTAAGGGTTGAGCCGAGCGGCTCAACCCATTGCTACCCCTACTCCAACCCCTATGTATTGTGACAAAGTGCTATTCAGATCTCTCACATGTGTTCCATGAACGCATAAAGTATATTGAAATTGATGTTATCTTGTTCGATATCATCTGTAGACTGGCATTATTTCCGTACCTTTTATTTCTTCATCATTGTAGCTTGTTGACTTCTTCACGAAGTCTCATCTTATATAGCATATTTAATTTATGAGTAATATTATTTAGTTTCCTTCTACTGTAGGTTTCCTTTTTGTTTACTCCTGTAATATATAAACCCAATTATTTAGAAATCTAATCTTTTGGTGGCTCAATAGTATGTTTTCTTCTTCTTCTTCTTCTTCTTCTTCTTCTTCTCCTTTGGTTGGTGTATCAAATTAGTTTGTATTATTTTCACTATTACCCTATAGTTTTAAGAGTTAACAACATTGTCATTTTAGTTAACGTATTACAAGTATAAAATTGAATGCCCAGTTGTAGTCTATAAGATTGGACACGACTATTGAAAATTTTTATCACAAGTTTCGGTTCCTCGATCCTCTCAAGTTATGTCGAGTTCAACATATAAAACATGCACTAAATGTTCAAATTCTCAGAAATATTTGCCGCCAAGAACTTGAATTTGTTCGTTTCACAATGAAATAGAACGGCATTAAAAAAGAGAGAGGCAACTTTCAACATGTAGAAATAATCTCTCACCCAAGGTATGTAGGATAAAACATGTCCACTGCTTACAATTTTTTGACAATTCAAAAATTATAAGCCCACGTCAGCGGTGGGCAAGGTAACTCCTACCCACCATGGGTAGGAGATCATTTTTGTTTCGACATGATTGCACACTGTTAAAACTCATGGGCATCTAATGTACGGAAAATTATGAGAGATTTTCGATAAACCAGTTAAGCGCAAAGAAGAGGGATAATTTCTCATAAAATTGCACAATCAATTGGTCATGAAAGGCACATTGCATCAAAATTAGCAAAGGCTCATTGAAGAAGTTGAAATGGTGTCAAAGTAGACTGCCAAAATCCCCACACGAACAATTTCCATTGAAAAATTTATGCAGTCTTTTACTATCTCGAACTATTATAGTTCTTGAAGTTAATGTCGAGATGAATTTAATAAAATTATGGCAGTCCCTACACATGCTAATACTTTTAACAATCCGAATCTGTCCCCCATTTGATGTATTAAGTAATCCATATGCAACTGCCAACTTTTCACTGTGATGAGCAGGCAACGAAGTTGTTTCCTCTGCATCGTCTACCACCTCCAAATTTGCTTGCAACTGATATCCAATAACACGTGCTCTATCTTGTAGATCCTCCAATAGTTTCGTTACCTCTCCTTCCTGATTTAGCTGGTTCTCAGACTTAAATGAAAAAACCTTGTTTCGAATGCTTATCCAGCTCCAATCCTTCATTTTTCCAATCTTTTCATCTTTCATCAATTTTCTCACCCTCGAGACATCCTTCCATCTGCTTGCTGAAAGATACATATTTAATAGCAAGAAATAAGTCTCTGGATCTCTGGGTTTCAGATCAAGCAGTTGTTCGGCAGCATAAAACCCCAACTCTAATTTTCCGTGACTTCTACAGCCTGCAATTAAGATTGACCATATAAACTCACTGGGCATAAAATCCATCTTCTTGATAAAATCAAAAGCTTTTTCTATCTGACCCAACCTCACAAACATATCAATCAAGCATGCATAATGGTCCATCACGGGATTAATTTTGTATTCATTTTTCATCAATTCAAAATAGGCCAATGCCTCATCAACCATTCCTGCTTGACTACAAGCTGAGAGAACACCTACAAAGGTGATCTTGTTTGGTCTAACTCCTACGAGTCTCATATCTTCAAAAAGCTGTAAGGCCTGTTGAGAGAGGCCATGCTGTGCAAACGCCGTGATCATGGAAGTCCATGAAATTAATGTTCTTGTAGACATCTCGACAAAAGCTCTACTTGCTCTTCCAATGCTTCCACATTTGTTATACATGTTAACCAGGGCAGTTCCCACAACCACATCGGACAAAAAGCCAGTTTTTAATGTCTGAGCGTGAAATTGTTCCCCTTGTTCCAGAGCCACTAAGTTACTACATACAGTTAATATGCTTGAGAAGGTATACAAATCAGGTTTCATGCCTGATCTTTTCATTCGCTGGAAAATCTTGAGGCCCTCAATTCCACTGAAGTGAGTGGAAATGCCGTCCTGTCCAAGATCCATCATTTGAGCATGACCAGCAATCATAGCATTCCATGTAACTAAGCTGATGTTGTTCATTCCATCAAACAGCTTCTTTGCCTCATTGATGCAACCATTTTTCAAGTACAAATACATAATTGAATTCGTTACGGGTATTTGGGATCCATATCCGAGTTTTATGCTCAACGAGTGAACCTGAGTACCCAAACCCAATGCCCGTATTATGCAACACAAACTCAATACACTAGTCAACGTGAACTCATTTGGCTCCACACCCTCAGAAAGCATCTCAACAAACATATCCAATCCCATAGCAGAATCCCCATTATCCCCACACGCAGATATAACAGCAGTCCATGAAATCACATTCTTTTCCCCAATCCTGGAAAACGCCTTAAATGCCATATCCAAACTACCACATTTGGAATAGAAGCTACAAAGTGCATTTCCAATACTGGCATCATATTCAATTCCATACTTTATAATATACCCATGAATATGCTTTCCCAATTCAATATCACACAGAGAAGAGCAAGCATTCAATACAATTCCTAAAGTAAAATTTGTGGGGTATCCCCCAACTTCCAACATTTCATTGAAAACACTAATAGCAAGGTGCGGCTGCGAATTATGAACATAGCCCGACATCAACGAAGTCCATGTGACCACATTTTTTTTAGGTAAATTATCGAAAACCTTTTGAGCATTTTCCATGGTCCCACATTTTGCATATACATTTACAAGAAATGTCATGAGGAACAAATCTTGATATGAACCCCTCTTTATGACATGAGCATGAAGGGCTTGAACATCCGAAACTGAGTTTTTTTCTATACATTCCTGTAAAAGCGGAACGTAAAAAGATGATTCAACCTTAGTATTACCTTCTTTTATCAATGTAAGTGCTTCCCTGAAGTCCAAAATAAAAGGGTCCAAAGCTGCTTTATCCAACTCTTTGGTGTTCAAATTTCTCTACACATAAAAAATATTCAAAGCATGATTGCAAAAGAAATAATCGGTAGCCAATACGAAAACTTACTAGAAACAAATAAAACGAGATAAATGAAGATTAAGCTTACATTTTGAAATGAAACAGAAGATGGGTTGAGTTTTTTGAATTGTCGATCTAGCTTGACAGTATTTCCAACTACAACTGAAGGCAGGGAGGCCATGAAATCAATCGATAAATGTTGAGAGGTTGACGAAAAGTTTGTTTGGGGTTATCTCATATGGTTGGATGAAATTAAGCTATTTATCGTCTTTCATTCATTAACTAGACCGCGCGCGCGCGCAAGCCACCGCGTGTGAGAGAGAGTTTTTGTCTGGCCATGGATCGCTCGCTGCTGGGCTACTCGCCTTGCCCATCTATGCCACGACAAGGGATTAGGTTATGTGCTTAGTGCTAATTTGATATGACTTTTGCCTTTAATTATACTTGTAGAAAAGTTTTCCGAAAGAGCCATCTTAATTTTTGTTCGAAAATTAATTTTTAAATAAGTTTTTTATATTGAAAGTACTTTAAAAAAAAAAAATCACATTAGACCAACTTCCTATAAAAACTCTTCTAACTAAAAAAAAACACTTTCATAAAATTAATCAAAAGAGTCTAAAATAGATTCTGGGTCTAAAAAACTCTTTTTTAACTTTTTAAAAGTCATGTCAAACGAACATTTAGTTCGTGAATCTCTTTTTTTTTTCTTTTAAATCTAAATCATATTTTAAAAAAATGTAAATGTAAACGCTGAATTAAACTGCAATACTAGAAGTTAATTTTGATGTATTATCCATGAAATACTTCTTGATTTTCAAAAATCAACTCTTATAAGTATGTTAAAAGAGATTCTTTAAATTAATATTTTAATTTAAAAAATAAATTTGGTTCTCCAAATTTAGAGAGTGAAACTCACTCTCTATAATTAAATACAATCAGAATATTTTAATTTTAGTTGTAAAAAATAATATAATAATTTGAGGAGAAGTTAATAAAAATAAAAGATGAGGAAATCAATAAAGATTTTTTGAGAGTAGTATAATTAAGTATTAAATATAAAGAGCATGTTAGAATACGTAAAAAAATTTACCATTTAAATTTATAGATACTATTTAAATTTTAGAATATGTTCTTTAAAAATAGAATATGCCAAAAATATTCTAATAGTATCTTGGAGACTAGTCTCTCTCTCTCTCTCTCTCTCTCTCTCTCTCTTTTTCCCATTTTTTTTTTTTTTTTTGTCTGGCCTTGCATCCCTCGTTACTGGGAATTGCTTTTATTTATTTTAAATCAAAAATGTATTTTTTTTTTTAAATGTAGGTGTAGATACTTGCTGAATTAAACTGCAATACTAGAAATTAATTTTGATGCATTTTCCCTGGTGGGTTAAGAGTTTATGAAATGAGACTAGTAAAAAAGTAGAGAATAAGAGGTTGATAAGTGCATGAAATGAAAGCAAAAGGAGCTGCAAACTGAGAGCAATTTTGTTATGCCAACCAACCAGAGGATTGGGCCAAACTCCATAGGTCAAAGGAAATCCATCGTTTAGCACGATCTTGCTTTGCTTGGGAACCTTCCTTCCTTCAGTTGTGATAATTAATCACTAGGGGCAGACAGGCACCTCCCAACTGTGACAAAGCCTTTAAAGAAGGCTAGGCAGGCTAAAATATTTGATTAGATAGAAAGCATATTCTAGGACCCATACCCCTCGATCTAATCAAAACAAACACATTCTTAGATTTTATGGAAGATTTACAGCTTTCAGAAAATCTGACTGCTGTTTTCTTCCACAAAATCCCATCCTGTACATGGAGTCATCCTTAAAAACAGATAAGTGATACTCCATTACATCCTTAAAAACAGATAATTGGTACTCCATACAAAGAAAAAGCCCAAAACCTCATAAATGTTGAGGAAAAAAAACAATTTTACTATTTTTACCATCATACTTGGCAACAATGGTTGACAATGTTGGTGTTGTCAAAATTCGGGACATTGATTTAAAAAACAGTTTTTGAAATGGATGAATGTGATTTTGCTAAGTGTGAATTGTCAACCAATATTCTGAAACTAGATTGTACATATAACATGATTCAAATAAAACCTCGGTTAGGATCAAGTTATATGAAAGATTGATTTATACATAATAATGCCAAGATATAAAGCCATTAGATTCTCGCCCTTGAGAACTCCAACGATCAAATCTAAGCTGTCAAACCTTCCTTGCCACTGCCAGTGTCAAAATGCCTCTCATGCATCGAATCTGCTAGAAACAAAAGGTTTGTTACTAGTTGTTCATAATGGACTTAACATGTCTATATCCTTCTAAAGTTCAGCACCCAGAATGGCCAAAGACCCCAAACTCCAAAAATAAATTGATTGTGTTCATATTTCACTTTTAGAACCCTCGAGTGAACTAAATTTATGTGGGGAAATAGTATTACTCAAAAACAAATAGAGACCATAACTCGTGTCTTTGTAGCACTGTGATACAAGTCATGTCAACCTCATGAGCCAAATAATCTACACTAACCACCTTATATACGTTAAAAATCTTAATCATTGTTTTATATAATTATAACATTTCAGATTCTTCTCAACTTTTTGATGATATAGAACTCCTGTTTGTTACTGTATGACACGATAAAACCGACCTCTTATAAGCATAGCAACAAACTATTTTCTATTATTCTTATAAGCTAGAAGATATCAGTATTATCCTTTTCAATCTTCCTCTCAGTAAAGAAACGGATATGGTAATTTAAGAAGGCATTTCATAAAAAGCACACCACAATCCACTATTTTTTGGAAAGAAAATAACATCTGTTGCCAATTGACATTTAAAATCTAGCACAGTTAATGACAAAATAAAAGAAGCACAAAACCTATTGCTAGTCAATGCAATTTACCTCGTCTGAAGATCAGGCCTGATTCAGTCCTTGAACTTCATAGTTTCTTTCTCAAAACCAATAGTAGGAAATTGCTTTGCATACTCCTCAATTTCATAGCGCAACTTTGATAGATCAGATTGATAAGCTTCTGTCTTCATTGTCGCCACAAAGTCCTTTAACTTTGCTCCTGAATATTTTAATCAAAGAGTGCACAAGTATAAAACTAGACGACTTTAAAAGTTCTGGTTGCAAATTAGAAGATTGGCCACAATATAATTCTGGAACAATAAATAAAGAAAACAGCATTAAAAACCATTTGTATTAGCCTTGATCTTCAGGGCCACTGTCACGGCTGCATCAAAGAACTCAGCAACTTTAACGAACTCTTGTTCAACAAATGCCCATGATGTCAGAGCCAGAGTTACTAAATTGCCCAACAAAACAATCAATTTGAAGTAATCAAAACTCAAANCATCAAAGAACTCAGCAACTTTAACGAAATCTTGTTCAACGAATCCTCTTGATGTCAGAGCTGGAGTTCCTAAATTACCAAAGAAAAAATAATCAATTTTGAACTAGTAAAAACTTCGTGTACAAGATGCATATTGGGAAGGGGGCCAAGGGGCTTACCCATTCGAATGCCTCCGGGCACCATGGCAGATACATCCCCAGGAACAGTATTTTTTGGCAGCAATGTGCACCGCCTCCAAAACTTTTTCAACTCTGGAGCCATCAATACCTTGCAGACAGGATAAAGTGGTCAATTACAAGTACAAAATTAATTCCAAAAATAGATAATCTTTTGCCTGTCAACATTGAAAAGAAGTACGCACTTTGAAAGTAAGTGAACTTACTATCAAAATAAGTAACTTTTTTTCCTTGAATGAAGAAGTACCATAACAAAACATGTTTGGAAACAAAATATACATAAAGTATGACTTTCTTTTTAGCTTAGCCAAACATGATCTTGATCATTTGACAAAGCTTGTATGGAAAATGTAAACTATAATTCATCATTTTACCAAAATGTCAAGGTGAAATACATAAAAAAAAAATAAGGAACCTTCTCTTGCTGAAGCTCTCATGTGGCAGAAAAACAAAAGAAAATAATCAATAGCAAATGCAACATGCAAAATTCACCAAACTTTTAGATACTTCAATGTGGTGCAAAAAGTGAATCCAAGATGTACAGTTTTCAGAAAAGAAAAAAAGAGAGGAGTTTGGAAGTCAACAATATTTTTATTTTGAGTGATTGGTCAGAAACCAAGAAAAAAGCAAAGCAGTCACAAGAGGACAATCAAAAATGTTTGGTGTACCTTGTTTCTCAAATTTACCAAGACAAGATGGTTATCAGTTCCACCAGATACAAGTTCATAGCCTTTCTCTAGCAAAGTCTGCAAAACATGATGACATCACAAATGAATGTTAATATGACATAACATCGGAAGCTAGTTTAAATTCTTAATACAATCAAAAGTTGGAAACAGGGATGAATTCAGGAAATGAAAATTCATAATAGACAGGAACAAAATACATCTGCGAACTTTGAGCAATTACTGAGAACTTGCTCTTGATATGCCTTGTATTCTGGAGTCGTAGCCTACAATTGTAAGATTTTTAGAAAGACATCAGTAAAAATTACACAATATTCTCTTTTATAATAAAAAGCTTAGCAAATGTAACCTGTTTCAGTGCAACTGCTAAGGCAGTTATAGTGTGATTGTGGGGTCCACCTTGAAGTCCGGGAAATACAGCTTGATTAATTTTGTCTTCATAGTCATACATCACCTGTTACATGTAAATTATTATTACTTTTTTTCCCAGGATACAACATAATGATTTAGCATATGCTTGGCAAGTGTTTATAAACACATAGAAAAGAGTGGTCGATAAGTAGGTAGTAATTGTGACTTGGGTAATTGGCGCAAAACGTCCCTACCTATGACGGGTTCTGTGGAAAACGTCATTACGTTTGATTTTTTGGTGCAAAACGTCCCTACCTTTACATTTTCTTGCCCAAAACGTCATTTTCACCAATTTTTAACATAAAAT